CAATTTAAAAATATGTATTGTAAAACTGAGGTTTCACATGAGTTATGACCACGGGTCAAAAGAACAGGAAGAGATAATTCTAATAATAATAAACATGTTGAAGCATAAAGTTGTGAAATCCACGGACAAAAGATATGTCCCGCCATCTGTAGTTGTGTTATTTAAGAGCAAATAAAGGCTGCTTAAATTGTGGTGAGACATCTCTCACCTGTATTAATGTTAGATAGTTTTGTGTTTTTATAGTGATGACCATTGGTTTTGTTTAAAAATGCACCTTTTTGATAATATGATTTGGATTAACTTAGTTATAGTTTCAAATTCAGTAAGGATGTTGATGTGTTTGCCCTGATTTTTGAGATAAAAATATAATTATTTTTATTGGTATGAAAAATGAAAATTAATGTTGACATTCAATTTTAATGGTCTGATTTTTATTGTCGTACATGAATTTTTAACTCTTGAATTCCATTTAAAATTATGTACGAAGGATTGTTTATTTTATTGCTGTATATCATAAATCAAGTGGCCGGAAATTTCATTAGGCAAGTGGTCGGAAAACTCATTAGGCAATTGGTCGGAAAACTCATTAGGCAAGTGGCCGGAAAACTCATTAGGAAAGTGGTCGGCAAACTCATTAGGCAAGTGGTCGGAAAACTCATTAGGCAAGTGGTCGGAAAACTCATTAGGCAAGTGGTCGGAAAACTCATTAGGCATCACCAGCCTTTTGAGTAATCCGCAGTGGTCGGAAAACTCATTAGGCCAGTGGTCGGAAAACTCATTAGGCCAGTGGTCGGAAAACTCATTAGGCCAGTGGTCGGCAAACTCATTAGACCAGTGGTCGGAAAACTCATTAGACAAGTGGCCGGAAAACTCATTAGGCAAGTGGTCGGAAAACTCATTAGGAAAGTGGTCGGCAAACTCATTAGGCAAGTGGCCGGAAAACTTATTAGGCAAGTGGTCGGAAAACTCATTAGGAAAGTGGTCGGAAAATTCATTAGGCCTGTGGTCGGCAAACTCATTAGGCCAGTGGTCGGCAAACTCATTAGGCAAGTGGTCGGAAAACTCATTAGGCAAGTGGTCGGCAAACTCATTAGGAAATTGGTCGGAAAACTCATTAGGCAAGTGGCCGGCAAACTCATTAGGAAAGTGGCCGGAAAACTCATTAGGCAAGTGGTCGGACAACTCATTAGGAAAGTGGTCGGCAAACTCATTAGGAAAGTGGTCGGCAAACTCATTAGGAAAGTGGTCGGAAAAACTCATTAGGCAAGTGGTCGGTAAACTCGTTAGGCAAGTGGTCGTTAAACTCATTAGGCCAGTGGTCAGCAAACTCATTAGACCAGTGGTCGGAAAACTCATTAGGCCAGTGGTCGGAAAACTCATTAGGCCAGTGGTCGGAAAACTCATTAGGCCAGTGGTCGGAAAACTCATTAGGCCAGTGGTCGGCAAACTCATTAGGCCAGTGGTCGGCAAACTCATTAGACAAGTGGCCGGAAAACTCATTAGGCAAGTGGTCGGAAAACTCATTAGGCAAGTGGTCGGGAAACTCATTAGGCAAGTGGCCGGCAAACTTATTAGGCAAGTGGTCGGCAAACTCATTAGGAAAGTGGTCGGAAAACTCATTAGGCCTGTGGTCGGCAAACTCATTAGGCCAGTGGTCGGCAAACTCATTAGGCAAGTGGTCGGAAAACTCATTAGGCAAGTGGTCGGAAAACTCATAAGGCAAGTGTGTCGAGTATGAGCGTTCATTAGGAATTGTTGCGACTCAATATTATGTTCATTAGTTGTTGAACGCTTTTCCCGCGCTTGACTATTATAGTTAGTGAACGCTCTTCCCGCCATTGTCTTTATGACGTATTTTT